GCTGCTGCTGCTGCTGCTCCAGCGCTTGGGCTCCGAGGGCTGTGAGCAGAAATCTAATGAGACCCAACTGGCTGTTTATGTAATTCTTCACACTCCTGTCTTAAGGCGTTGCTTTAAAACTACCTTCCGCGGAGCCTGAATTTCGCTCGGCTGCACCGTCAAGCAATTTGGCTTAATCAGCTGCCTTTGCCGGCTCTCAGGCTTTGAGCTTGCAAAGTGTACTTTGGGGGCAGCCAGGGATCCTTTTCCCTTTGTCACCACGAATATGGAAAATGGAACAGATGGATTAATACCAACTGGATTTTTTAAATGTCCTTTTAACTCAACCTCAGTGTACAAATAGATCCCTTTTGCAAATATCTTCTGTTTGCCCTTGATCTTTTCTTATCCCCACCCAATGCTGATCCAGCAAACGTTTAAAGGTCGACCTTATCGTACAAACCTCTCCGGCTGTTCTCTTATCGTGAAGGAGGGAGGTGGTTTTGAAAATCAGAATAAAACTCAGAAACCCTGTCCTTTAAAGAGAATAATCAATAGAGTTTTGAAATTAATTGTTGCTTTTGTTACATTTGCTGCCAAAGATATTTTCTGATTTTTGAAAAATACACATTGAAAAGAAAAAGCACAGAGAAGCTCGATTATTACATTGTATGCCCTTAGTATATTTAAGACGGCAGCTATGTAGGATAATTTGGTTCATAATTATCGTTGACTAGGATGGCAATTCATTGTATTTAGTATTTTTAATTTTAGCATCGCATACTTTGGAAATTAAAATAATTTTCCTAACTTCTCAAATGTCTAAACGTTTCACGATACAGCAGATTTAAGCAGCATATATCCAGAATGAACTGCAATATAGAATTCACTTCTAAATTAGTGAATAGGAATATGATCACTTTCTAAAACTGGTATATATGTGTGTGGAGGTGGGTGGATGGGTGTGCGGAGTAGAGTTTCCAATAAATATTCTTTTGAGTACTGAGGGAAGAAATACACTGTATATGCTGGAGATACATATATATATATTTTTAGAGCTATATTCAGAAATAAAAAGTAAATAATAGGGTTAAATATATTGTTTTAACTGTAAATCCTCAATTGTCCCATGAGATTTTGAACTTTAATAAACAGTTTTCTATTGTATGTTCCTTTATTTTGTGCTGATGATATTTTTCTGACTTTCTAGCCTATTAGACTTTTTCAAAAGTAAAATTACTCTGGGGGTAAGAAAAGGTTGTGGGACTTAGATTTATCTTATTTGGACATGTTTGTTTTTGTTTTGTTTTGTTTTTCTTTAAGGAGCAAGACCACTCAAGGTGAAGGATAATCTACAAAATACCAGCACTTTGAATGAAAATTTGTTTCTCTGCCACAAACTGAACACTTTTGTGTGCGTGTGTGGGGGGAAGTTGAAACACAAATCTCACTTAGTGGCATAGCAGCTATGCAGCTTGAAATCCAAGTAGCACTAAATTTTATTATTTCATATTTGTACAATAAGCTTCCCAGGAGACGTGTCAACATTTTTGGTGAAGAGCTTGAAAGACTTCTTAAGAAGAAATATGAAGGGCACTGGTATCCTGAAAAGCCATACAAAGGATCAGGGTTTAGATGTATACACATAGGGGAGAAAGTGGACCCAGTGATTGAACAAGCATCCAAAGAGAGTGGTTTGGACATTGATGATGTTCGTGGCAATCTGCCACAGGATCTTAGTGTTTGGATCGACCCATTTGAGGTTTCCTACCAAATTGGTGAAAAGGGACCAGTGAAGGTGCTTTATGTGGATGATAATAATGAAAATGGATGTGAGTTGGATAAGGAGATCAAAAACAGCTTTAACCCAGAGGCCCAGGTTTTTATGCCCATAAGTGACCCAGCCTCCTCAGTGTCCAGCTCTCCGTCGCCTCCCTTTGGTCACTCTGCTGCTGTAAGCCCTACCTTCATGCCCCGGTCCACTCAGCCTTTAACCTTTACCACTGCCACTTTTGCTGCCACCAAGTTCGGCTCTACCAAAATGAAGAATAGTGGCCGCAGCAACAAGGTTGCACGTACTTCTCCTATCAACCTCGGCTTGAATGTGAATGACCTCTTGAAGCAGAAAGCCATCTCTTCCTCAGTGCACTCTCTGTACGGGCTCGGCCTGGGCAGCCAGCAGCCGTCGCAGCCCCCGCCGCCGCCGCCGCCGCCGCCGCGGCAGCAGAAAGCCTCCGCTCTTTCTCCTAACGCCAAGGAGTTTATTTTTCCTAATGTGCAGGGTCAAGGTAGCAGTACCAATGGAATGTTCCCAGCTGACAGCCCCCTTAACCTCAGTCCTCTCCAGTACAGTAATGCCTTTGATGTGTTTGCGGCCTATGGAGGCCTCAACGAGAAGTCTTTTGTAGATGGCTTGAATTTTAGCTTAAATAACATGCAGTATTCTAACCAGCAGTTCCAGCCTGTTATGGCTAACTAAAACAGGAAGAAAAAAAAAATGTATCGTACAAGTTAAAATGCACGGGCCCAAGGGGGGATTTTTTTTTTCACCTCCTTGAGACTTTTTTTTTTTTTTTAAGCTTATAGTAAGGATACATTCAAGCTTGGTTACAAAAATAAAACCTGCGTCATTTTTCATTTGCCAACCAAGCACAAAGTTATTTTATACTGACTGTATATTTTAAAGTATACTCTCAGATATGGCCTCTTACAGTATTTAAGATATAGCAAGGACATGGCTGATTTTTTTTTTATAAAAAATTGGCACTAATAAGTGGGTTTATTGGTCTTTTCTAATTGTATAATTTAATTTAGTACAAAGTTTGTAAAATATCAGAGGATATATATATTGTTTCTACGACACGGTATTGCATTTATATCTTTTTACTACAGTGACCTGTGACAGCAGCAGCTTCATGTATTTTTTTTACTGAAATTGTAAAATATCCATCTTAAAGACATCAACTATTCTCAAAATTGTGTACAGGATATTCCTTTAGTGGTGGAATTAAAATGTACGAATATTTGCTTTTTCAAAAAAATGTATTTTCTGTTAAAGGTTTAAAGATTTTTGCTATATATTATGGAAGAAAATGTAATCGTAAATATTAATTTTGTACCTATATTGTGCAATACTTGAAAAAAACGGTATAAAAGTATTTTGAGTCAGTGTCTTACATGTTAAGAGGGACTGAAATAGTTTATATTAAGTTTGTATTAAAATTCCTTAAAATTAAAATTGCTTATTGTGGTCTTTGTTTTGAAGCCTTGGCCAAAGAGCTACCTCTGGAGTTAAAATGTTGTAAATGCTAGAAAAGGCTGCAGAAAAGGCTGACTCGTAGGATCACGAAGGAATGGTGGAAAGCAGTTGCACTCCTACTGCACCAGATAGCAGCCGTTTGCCACATAAAAAGTCCTATCAAAACTGCACAACCTGACCAGTGCTTGGGGACAGCTTTCTTTATAGATTTTTAAGCAACTTTCTTCAGCCCTGTGAATAGGGATGTTATGCTAAGGTTAGGCAACCCTGTTTTACAGCGAGTGTTAAATTGTGGTGTTGTGCTGACATCTAAGAGAATCCGATGATAAAATAAAATTCACTCATGGAACCAGAGAGGATTTATTTGAAATGTATATGGGGAGACCACTGGATCGGTTTTCTGTTTCTGCATGGGAGATGAATAGCTCAGAAACCTTGCTTGGACAAAGCAGCTGACCTAACTATTTAAAAAGAAGATTAGGTCTGTTTACTAATCCTTACACTTAAAGTTCAATCATATTTAGTTGCAGAATTTATGATCAAAATCTACTCAAGATTGGACAGGGTGCTTTCCCAGCAAGCAAGCTTGCTTGCTTGCTTGCTTTTTAAAATACAATTGGATAGCCAACCTCCTGCTTTGGGAGAGGAGTGGAGGTTCAAAGGTTACTCACCCGTAATGTGTCAAATTGTAGTGGCTTGGTAGGGATGGAGTTTTTAAAAAGTGATGAGTTGGAAGCGAGAGACACTATTTTTAAAGTAAAATGAGTCATTTCACTGTTTAAATGTCCACTGATAGTGTTGACATAGTATGGGTGAGAAAATTGCCTGGAATCGGAAGGAAACTGTACATGTATAGTAAGGAACCAGCACTGTCTGGGTTACTGGTGAAATAAATTTGGACTTAAATGAGTTTTTTGGACACCAGTGTACAAAAGCCTTTTGTCTGTTACCCATGCAGTTTAGAGCAATAAAAAGTTTTAAGGAAACAAGCACTGGGAATAATCAAGCTGAGCTGTTTTGCCCGCTCCGTGGTGAGGCCTTTGTCCTTGAGTGGACAGAATGAGGCTATGAAGAAGTACTGGGATAGTGAGTGGGACTGGCAGAGGGCTGGTCTGCCAGCATTATCAATTATGTGTTTTTGTGATCCCCAAGTTTGAAAAGCTGTAAGAACAATCAGTAATGGTTTTAAGCACTAGTTTCTGCTAGAGACTTGTGGGTGAAGTTATCATAGGCTTAACAGAAAATTGCCTTTTTACAAATAAAGACAACATACTTTTTCTGAAAATCAGAAGTAAGTCAGCTGGCTAGTAGATACACAACAGAATTTGTAACCATCTGGAACACTAAATCAGATTTTAAATAAATTGAGCTTAATGTAAATATGAATATCTTCCACATGTTAGGGATGTGCATCTTGGTACGTATGGGGGATATCGAGGGAAGATATTGGGGAAATGTCATATTGGTACCTATGTTGGTTTGGTGCTTGAATCTTGATTGGTTTCAAAAAAAATCTGTTCAATTTGAGCTTGGTATTCTTGAGGCCTTTTGTTTTCATGCCCTTTTTGCTCATTAGGAATGGAGATGTTTTTAAGTTTTTATTTTAATTCCAGTTAACATACAGTGTAATAGTAGGTTCAGGTGTACAATATAGGGACTCAATACTCCATACATCACCCAGTGCTTATCACAAGTGTACTTCTTAATCCCTATAACCTATTTCAGCCATCTCCCCTTACCACCATCCTACGTCTGGTAACCATCAGTTTGCTCTCTATGGTTAAGAGTCTGTTTCTTGGTTTGTCTCTTTTTTCCCCCTTTATTTGTTTTGTTTCTTGAATTCCACATATGAGTGAAATCATACCATCTTTGTCTTTTCTCAGACTGACTTCTTTCAGCATTATACTCTTTAGCTACATCATTGCAAATGGCAAGATTTCATTCTTTTTATGGCTGAGTAATATTCCAGTGTGTGTGTGTGTGTGTGTATCCATTCCTCAGTTGATGGACACTTGAGCTGTTCCCATAATTTGGCTATTGTAGATAATGTGATAAACATCAGGGTGCATGTATCCCTTTTGACTTAGTATTTTTGTATTTTTTGGATAGATAGCTAGTAACGCGATTGCTGAATCATAGAGTAGTTCTATTTTTAACTTTCTGAGGAACCTCCATACTGTTTTCCAGAGTGGCTGCACCAGTTTGCATTCCCACCATGAGGGTTCCCCTTTCTCCACATCCTCGCCAACACTTGTTTCTTGTGTTTTTGATTTTAGCCAAGGAATGGCAATTTTTCTTCTTAAGATTTTACTTTTAAGTAATTTCTACACCCAACATGGGGCTCGAACTCACAACCCTGAGATCAAGTGTCGCAAGCTCCACTGACTGAGCCAGCCAGGCTTCTCCAGGAATGGAAATTTTTTAAAAGGTGCTTTTTTTTTTTTTAATTTAAATTCAATTCGCCAACATGAAGTACATCATTAGTTTCAGAGGTAGAGTTCAGTAATTCATCAGTTGCATATAACACTCGGTGCTCATCACATCACCTGCCCTCCTTAATGCCTGTCACCCAGTTACCCCATCCGCCCACTTACCTCCCTTCCAGCAACCCTCAGTTTCTTTCCCATAGTTAAGAATCAAAAGGTGCTTTTGCCTAGCACACCTTATAAGCCTTAGAAAAGCTTACTTACATCTTGGTCCCAAATCTGTTTCTTCCTACTCTGCTATCACACTTTTGTCCCTTTGTGGAAAGTGTTTTGCTTGACAATTTACTGAGTTAATAATCTTTTTTTTTTTAATTTTATTTTTAAGTAATCTCTATACCCAACAGCCCCGAGATCAAGAGTCTCATGCGCTACCATCTGAGCCAGCCAGGCGCCCCAGATGAGTTAATTATCTTTTTTTTTTTTTTTAAAGAGTTTATTTATTTGACAGAGAGAGACACAGCGAGAGAGGGAGCACAAGCAGGGGGAGTGGGAGAGGGAGAAGCAGGCTTCCCGCAGAGCAGGGAGCCCGATGCGGGGCTCGATCCCAGGACCCTGGGACCAGGACCTGAGCCGAAGGCAGACGCTTAACGACTGAGCTACGCAGGCACCCTGAGTTAATTATCTTAATAGGTCTTTCCCATTGTTCTTACTTCTGTAAATATGGATACTGTATAGCAGCCTCTGAATGCCCTGATCCTGGTGTCCAAAATACTGCCTTACAGATGGCGTAGCTCATTGATGAGTGAATAAGTTGATAGCAAAAAGTAGCTCTCTGGGTTTCAAATATTCCTTTACTGCCCATCTTTTCTAAAATCAGGTGTATTGTTAAATCTCCTTTGAATAGCTTTAACCTAATAGCTAATAGTAGATGGCAAATGTAGGCCTTCAGTCAAAATGCCTCCTTAAAGATAATGACAATCTTTATTTACTGTGATTAACTTCTTAGTTTTTGAAAGTGAGACTAAAGGTGCCCTGAGTTTAAAAATGTTCTTGTCTTACGTACAGGCATTTAAATTGAGAGACAGATCTTCAGGAGGTAGGTTATTGTAAAACAAGTCACTATAACATATAGAAAATTTAAGTATCTCTAGTTGGACATACTCAAGCTAATGAGATAAAATGCTGGTTGGAGATCTTCCTCCTTAACCCTCTCCCTATACAAACTGAAAAGAGCATAGACGTGGCACAGCAAGTGTGTATCTTTGCTTGAATAGAACACATGCTTTCATCAGAAGCAGGATAAAAACTCTAGTGCAAGATCAGTAAGAGGAAAACAGCTTTATTAGAAGACAAGTACGTGGGGCGCCTGGGTGGCTCAGTCGTTAAGTGTCTGCCTTCGGCTCAGGTCATGATCCCAGGGTCCTGGGATCGAGCCCAGCATCGGGCTCCCTGCTTGGCGAGAGGCCTGCTTCTCCCTCTCCCACTCCTCCTGCTTGTGTTCCCTCTCTCGTTGTCTCTCTATCTGTCAGATAAATAAATAAAATCTTTAAAAAAAAAAAAAGACAAGTACGTAAAATTGCCATTGCCGAATAGAATTCCTTATACTGTTGAGTATGCCAATCAGTTGATGCTTAATCGATTTGGCCTGGGAGGCCACTTGAGATCTAATTTCTTCAGTTTGTTTGTGTTATGTTAGGAAGACACTATCTTCATGTTTAATGAACCTTGGATCAATATCTGTGCATATAACTGGAAAATTAGTCCAACACTTCTGTTAAAGCCATTTTTTAAAAAATGTTTTGAATCATTTGGTTAACAAATACTCATACAGCACTTACTACGTATCATGCATAGTTCCAACGCAGTTTACAGAAGGGGAGCTGAGACAGTTAACTCACCCATGATTGTATGGCCAGTAAGTGGCAGACCTGGAATTCATTTTTTTAAGATTTTATTTATTTGACAGAGAGAGACAGAGAGAGAGAGGGAACACAAGCAGGGGGAGTTGGAGAGGGAGAAGCAGGCTTCCCGCCGAGCAGGGAGCCCGATGTGGGGCTCAATCCCAGGACCCTGGGATCATGACCTGAGCCGAAGGCAGACGCTTAACGACTGAGCCACCCAGGCGCCCCCAGACCTGGAATTCGAACTCAGTGAAGTTCCAGAGTTGATGCTCTTAAACTCAGTGCTTTGTTCCCTGGGATTAGTTGTTCTTCTGATTTGAAGTCAAGGGAATAAGGACTATTTTTGATGTATTAGCCACATGACTGGTAGAATCTCTACAGGAGTGTTCATGAGAAGAGTTTAATGGGAGGCTCTTGGCCATGCTTAGAAGTCATGATGATATATTGGGGGAGATACTTTATATTTCCAGTGGCCATAAACTATAATCACAGGCTATCGGGAAATGTTTTTAGAAATCATTAAGTCAGTGCTTTAATTTTGTTGATTTTCTTAATTCAATTGTGTAAATTGCTTCTCTCATTTTAGAACCACTGGATGATTCCCTCAGACAGTAAGGACTGTAGACTTAGTGGCCCCATTCCTTCTAAGTAAGAT